TGCCCCTGCTCCCCACCCCCCCCCCCCGCGCCCTGCCCGGGAGCACCGTCACCCTCCTGCCCCCGCAGACCTCCACGGTAAGCGGCAGGAGCTCGACAGGGCTGGAGGGCCTCCCGCTCTAGACCTCCCGGGCCGCCCTGCTATCCTCTCCCTGTCGGCTCCCTGCTGCCCCCTGGACTCCCCCCACCCCCCCGCCCCCCGCCCCTACTTCCCACAAGATGAAATCATGACCCCTTGGCATGAAATACTACAGGCCATGTGATCTGGCCTTTCTCCGTGTCCTCTCCATCCGTCCGACTTTATAAGCCTCTGTGACAGATACCCACTCATCACCCAAACGCACCTCTCCCTTTCGATAACCGAGGTGCAGCTAAGCAGGTGGTAAGCAGGCAGGACTGAGTCCTCACCGACAGGATGGGGATGGGGAGGGGTGCGGGGTGCGGGGGGCGTGGGGCTGACACCTGGACCTGTCTGGGCGGTGCCCGGCTCTGACTGCTCCCGCAGGATACACCCCACGGCGGCGAGCCGGCAAGACACCGGGAGCCTGGGATTCCGAACGTGGTGCAGAGCTGGACCGCCCTTCCTATGACCCACTTGTGGCTTCTTTGTGCTCCTGGCTCTTCTGGCCTCTTGCAACAGCACTGCAGCCTCCACCCGGGATGCGAGCAAGCACCCGGCGGGACCCTGCCTGCCCCATCCGGGTCGGCGGAAGCAGGTGCGCCCCGACGCCCTCTCATCAGCAAACCTACTTGGTGTTCTCTAGGGTCTTCTGCATCTTCTTGGTCATCTTATCAATCGCCGCCTGTCTCTTCCCTTCGGGTAGGAGGTCTGTCTTGTTCAGCACCACGACCAGCTTCTGGCAGGCGATCTGCCCAATCACAAGGCACTCAGCCGACTGGGTCTGCATCCCCTTAGTCACGTCAATGACCAGCATCATCAGATCGATGATCTGGGCCCCTGGGAGAAGAGAGGACAAGGTTAGGGAGGAAACAGGGCAGCTGACTCTGCAGAAAGTTGCCCGATGCCCTAGGTCCAGCAAAACGAGTCAAGATAAAGTTGGGGGTGTCGGGCTGTGAACGACAACCACGACCTCCCGGCACCAGGCAGGGGAGTCACTCGACCGTGAACGCTGGCCCCCCTCCCAGTTCTGTGACCTGATTCCCCTCATCTCTACATGGGCAGCCTGGCAGGCTTGCTAGGGGCTCCAGGAGCCCGTGCGTGTAATGGGGCTGGCAGCGCGAGGACTCCCTACGCAGAAGCTCCTTTCATTGTGCCCAGTGTCATTTTGTCAGCCCGCTAGGTGAAAAACAGGTCTCAGTGTAGTCTCAAGCTGCTTCTTGCTGTTGGCGAGGAGGGCATCTTACTCTGACGTGAGCTGCTTGCTTCCTGTCTGACGTCCCCCAGCCACCTGGCCTCCCTGTTGGTCCTTGGACCCCTGCCACCCTGTAAGGTCTCTGCCCCAGCCCCTCCCCCTGCCCGGCCCGCTTGTCCAGGGGTTAACTGCCGGCCCTCTCTGAGTCCTGGCTCAAATATCTCCTCTCAACGAGGCCCATCCGGACAGCTCGATCAGGACTGCAGCCCGCCCGCCTCCCATACGTCCCGAGCCTCCTTTTCCTGCCCTGTTTCCCTAGGACACTTAGCACCCTCCACCTGTCCGTGAAACTCACGCACCGTGCACTGTTTGCTTCTGACCTGGCCTCCCCGACTGCCCTGCAAGGGTGGGATGGAGGCCAGAGGATTGCCGTTGATACTGCCTTCCCTTCGCTCTTTGTTGCCAAATTAAAGGAGCCAAGAGGAGGTGCTGAGGGTGCTGCATGGGCACTGTTAATACCATGTCTCCTTCCAAGTGGACTGTTGCTCTTTGTTGCCAATTTACTTATTTATTCATTTAATCTGTTTTTTCCATATTCTATTTATTTATTTGGCTGCGCCAGGTCTTTAGCTGCGGCATGCACGCGGGATCTAGTTCCCTGACCAGGGATCGAACTGGGGCCCCCTGCACCGGGAGTACGGCGTCTTAGCCTCTGGACCACAGGGGGAAGGAAGTCCCTGTTGCCAATCTAAAGAAACTTTTTAAACACTGAGGAGCACATCCTTTGAGGGGAAGGCGCATTTTAGGCTTCTCTCCCCAGTTATCTTCGGCTTTTATGACTTCTTTCTCCCATGCAGAGATGTTTGACTTTTATGTTAAAATGGTCAGTCTTGCTGCTTTTCTCTCTTGTTTCTGGGTTTGGTATCTTACCTAGGTATTTTTTTACTTTTAAGATTATATATATTTTTTCATGTGTTTTCTTCCAGTACTTTTACAGTTTTAAATGTCCATGTTTCAAACTTTAATCCACTTAGACATTATTTTGATGTAACGTGCAAGATGGAGATCTGACTTGAGTTTTATCTGGACGGCTACCCCTCGTCCCTGAGTCACAGTTACGTGCTTTCCCCCGTTTACAGACCCGGACGGTGAGCCTCAGAAAGGAAGGCTGGGTACCCAGGACTCTGTACCAAGTACCCTGCGCTCTCGGCCGGCCCCCTCCCCACTCAGCGCTGTGGGTGTTTTGCTGCAAGCCACCAGCACTTATTGGGTTTGGGCTTTTCTTCCTTTCAGCAGGGCTCCAGCACCTGTCTCTGTCTCCTGTCCTGTCCTCGGCTGCTTATTTTTTCCTTGTGTCTGACACGGCTCTCTTTGCTGTTCTCCTGTCCCTCCTCTGCCGACACTGCCCTGTGTCCTGGGCTCTCCGGGTGGTGGTGAGGGGCTGTGCCCGGGCTCAGGGCTGTCCTGAGGACACTGGCCGTTTGCCTTTGCACCTTGCCCACTCCCCTTCCTCTTCCCGTCCTCGGGCCCTTTCCCACCTGCTCTTCGGGACGCCGTAGTGTCCCCAGAGACTCAGGAATGCAGGACTCCGGCCAAGAGGCAGCTGGCAATAGGAAAAGCAGACACTTGAATTCAGACAGCTCCGAGTTCTAGCCGTGCCTCTGCTGTTCGCGGTCGTGCGACCTGACCTCAGAGTTCTCTCTGTTGGAACGGCAGGGTCTCCTCCCCGCGGGGCTGTGGTGAGGGTCAGAGCTGACGCACGCGAGGCAGAAGTCACGGGCTGACCTGCTGTCAGGAGCCGAGAGGGGGCGACGGGGAGCTGCAGGGCCCCTGGCGAAAGTGCTCCTCGGCACGACAGGTGCAGGCCCGGTGCTGCCACATCTGCCCATCTGTAAAGATCTTTTACACGACCCCTCCTGGATTGTGAGTGTGGACAGTTCGTGCAGGCTGTGCAGCGTCCCTTCCAGGGCCCACCTGTCTGCAGCCAGCCACGTGTAGTCCCGAGCCCGGGCTCGGCTCCCAGCCCGCGTGCCGGCCACTTGGGCTAGGCAGCCACTTTGGGGTTCCCTGACAGGCGGGCGGCACGCTGGTTCTGCTGGATGCTGGGTCAGCTCGTCACCTACGCGATCTGGGGCGCCTGAAGCTTGCTTTCCTCCTGGTCCGTCTGGGGCAGCTCCTCATTCTCCCGGAGAGGAAGCCAGGCTTTGCAGCTAGTGCCTCGTGGCGCCTGGCTGGCCAGGGGAGGTGTCCGGTCCTGCCCAGGTGGCCCTGCTCAGGCGGCTCACTGCTGGTCTGGGGGAATTCAGCA